TTTTGTAGCAGGAACTCCTTTGCATGTTAGGCCACACACCCCTAATGTAGCCAATCCTAATGAGTTTCTGCTGTTGGGTGTGGCCTATTATGCTAATGAGTTCCTGCTGGGCGTGTCCAACTCAGGAGCCAGCTGGAACTCCGTTCCTGTGCGTTCCTGCCCAAAAATAGCCCTTGCCTTTCTCCAAAATTAGGACCTGGCATGATCTGGGCTGTGCCACCAGAGGCCTACTAGGCCCAGAGAGCCTGGCTAGCAGTAGGAGAGGCTGGGCCTACAACTCCCAGAAGCCTGAGAGGTTTTGGAGCCAAAATTGACCAATAGGGAAGAAGCAGGCTGGAGAACAAAAGGGCTGGTGCCAGAACAGAAGCTGCAGAGTGCAGAGCCAAAAGGAAGGCTGCTCCAAGGAAGAAACCTTCCTCCTGAGGGAAGGGTGAGTAGTCTAGTGTCACTTGGAATAGTGAGCTAGGGACAGTATATATTTAGAGGCGTTAGGGCATTTGATTTCTTTTCTTTTCACCCACTTACTGTTATTATTCTGCACCTTGTTTGTTTGAACTCTTATAAAATAAACGATTTGCCAGACACCCTGGGAGGTCGGTGGGGCTGAGAGAGCTCTGATAGAAATTGCTCTTTTTCAAGAACAGCTCTTGTCAGAACTATGGCTTGCCCAAGGTCATCCAGCAGCTGCAGGTGGAGGAGTGGGGAATCAAACCTGGTTCTCCCAGAGTCCGCACACTTAACCACTACACCAAAGTGGCTCTCGCCAGGGTGTCTGTTGTGGGGAGGGGAAGGGAAAGGAGTTTGTAAGCCGCTCTGAGACTCCCTCGGGTATAAATCCAATCTCTTCTTCTCTTCCTCTTCTACAACCACACTGGCTTTCTTCCAGGGCAAACTGGGGATTCGAACCTGGGTCTCCCAGAGCCCAGTCCGACACTCTAACCACTACATCATGCTGGCTTCAGGCCAGAAAGCTTAGGATCCTGGTTCGTGAGCAAAAAACAAAGGGCTACTCGTTAAACCACCCAATTCCAGACACCACCGCAAGCATAACTGAAACGGAAGCCATCGTACCCTCGGAAGCCTCCCATCTCAGCATGGTCTGTAAGGGGTGGCGGGAGCCTGTCCGAAAACAGTCTTCTTTATTTGCGTCACCAAGCGTGGCTCACTGGGACCAAGGAGACCACTTGCAAACTACACTTTTGGATGCAGGAGCTGAACCCTGCGTCTCTTTGCCAAGAGACTAGCAGCCGTAAATTTAGCCCTTGGGAAACTTTGCTTACTCAAAAATTTGACTTAAGAGTAAGAGTTTATTCTTCGTTGAAATATATACAGCCTGAAGCAAGCGCATTGTTTAACGCTCCGAACAGTGTTGCTTGGTAAAGGTTTGAAGAGTATAAATATTTTTCTGAACAACGTAAACATTTCTAAACGAATCAACATTATTTTTACCATCAACGCGGTAAGAATAAAACTAAGCGAGTCACGGCATTGAAAAAAATGGCCACACTGGTATCTGTTCAACAAACATACTATAAATCGGGGATAAAGACAACCCGTGAGGCATGCAACGAAAAGGGGGGGGCACGAACCCTCCCCCCCCCATCAGCAGACCTGACAACAGAGTCAAGATCGGTTGGGGTGACAGAAAACATGCTAGCCAGAAAAGAAGTGGCTGCCGCGTGGGGCAGAAAGATTCCCATGAGCCCCATTTCAGTACTGCTTGTATCATCCAAACTGGTTTCAACGGACTGAACGAGACTGAATACTTTTTGTCTGCTGAAAAATACATCACAGCATGAAGCCGGAAATGCCGATTGGTGCTTCTGGCTTTTTTGAAGGTAGAGCAGTTAAAGCTGCTATCCAAACAAGGCATTCGGATATTCTAAGTGTTACTGACACAGCTAATGTTCAAAAGAAGGAAGGCCTAGGAAAGTACGGTGGAGCCATCTGTAAGATTTCCTTGGGATTTCTTTCTTTTTTTTAAAGAAACTGGCACCCTCGGGCTATGATCCTATGCACACATTCTAGGAAGTTAATCTAAGTGAACTTGGATCTATCATCAGAGAGACTAAGCACAGATGTTTCAGCAAAGGGAGAAATTGTAGTTGCTAGCTGTTGTAGATTTTTCCGGGTTGTCTGGCCATGGTCTTGGCATTGTAGGACCTGACATTTCACCAGTAGATGTGACTGGCATCCTCAGAGGTATAACACAGAAAGAGGGAGGACTCTCTGTGTCAAGGTGAGAAGAAAAATGGTAGGCAGGTAATTTATATCTACTCTGGAAGGTGGGGTAGGGCTGAGTCATTATCTTGTAGGTGTTCCCCAGGCTGTGGAACATGCTAATGGAGGAGCTTTCCTGAGGAGGTTCTTTTGCATATGGATTGGCTGTTTCCTGAGGAGGTTCTTTTGCAAATTGATTGTTTCCTGAGGAGGTTTCCTGTTTCCTGAGGAGGTCCTTTTGCATGTGGATTGGCTGCTGAAATTCTAATCTTATCTGTAAGTGCTGTTGTCAGATGTAGAGCCTTTTGTGTTTTTCAGGACAGGAAACCATGCCCTAAAACAAATAGGCCAGACAAACTGGAAAATCTACAACAGCTAATGAACTCCGGCCGTGAAAACCTTCGACAACAAATTGTAGTTGTTACTTACACACACATGCACACACATTCTGATTCAACGGACAAACCCCAGGGCAGAATGAGTTCCCATAAATCCTGGTCTTGGCCCTATAGTTAGATCAGACTAGAGATCAGTTCCAAAGTCAGGCCGTCGCTGTGTAACTAACAGTGCGATCGTGAGAAAAGTTACTCCAGCCTAAACCTATTGGCTTCAATGAGTTCAAGAACATAAGAACATCAGAGAAGCCAATGTTGGATCAGGCCAACGGCCCATCTAGTCCAACACTCTTGTCACACAGTGGCCAAAAATACCAGGTGCCATCAGGAGGTCCAGCAGTGGGGCCAGGACAGTTGTTTAGACTGGAGTAACTCCGCTTAGGATGCAGAGCAAACAGCAAAATGCTTGTTCGCGAGGGGAGGGAAACGGCCACAAAATACTTACCATCTTCCTGCTTTGCCTTAAATAAAGATCGTATTTCTCCGCTTTGTCTTACAAACAGGTTCTTTTTATTTTAAATACAGAAAAGGGACGCACAGAGGGATGCAGTCATTTCCTGAGATTTTTTTTAAAAAATCATTTACATTAGTCGAAAGACGTCTTGTAGGATACTGCAGGCTCATTCGATTTAAAAGACCAGGGGCTCCGAGAAAGCAGCTGGCAATATGGTTAAATGCCTCCTCTAGGACAGATTAGCAAGTCCTCCGAGGAATCCACTCCTCCCACCTCTCTGAGCGAGCCAGATCTTTCTTTAATACAACAACTGTTCAAAAGCAACATTTTCTTCCAAGAGGAAAACACTGACTCCAGCATTTTGACAGCCCATGGGGCGTTTCGCTCCATGGAACCCTGTCACAGAATCGCTACCCGCACCACCGTGGACGAGCGCTCTGTTCACAGGCTACAAAAATACCAAAAATCAATTTCAAAACATAGCCAACCAGACAGAGCGGTTTTCTTTTACTATAAAAGTACAATGATTCCTTTTTCTTATTTGTCTTTTTTTAATGTGTGGCACACCTCCCCCCCCTCCCCCCCCAATAAATCCCGAGGGGCAGGTTAATACAATTGTGACAAAGCCACCGCTCCCGAAACCATACTGCAGCTGATATTTGTAAAAAAAACGATTTTAAAAGGTAACTCCTGAAGTTACTGTCTACAAGCTTTCTGTAAAGGGGGGGGGGGGAAATCTACTTCTTCAAAGGAAACAAGAACCTAAACTTTCCCAAGGGAAGTTATTTAAAAATCCACTCCGAATACTAGTTAGTGACGCGAGGGGCGCCACTTGCCGTCTCTGCCGCTCTCCCTCCGGTTATCGTAGTCATGACTCCAGCCTCCATAGTTCCTGTCGTCATGGCAATACTCCTCCCGGGCGCCCCGGAAATGATGCTCGGACCCGCCGTCGCTGAGCCGCGGATGCTCCCGGCTGTAATGCCGGCTGTCGGCCTGATACGGGTGGGAGCCGACACGGACCTTGCGCTGGGCCGATACCCCCTCTGGGCGCCACGGCATCGGCGCGGCTGACGACGGGCTGAAGGTGTAACTCGGCTGGTGCCCGGGTGAGGCGAAGCCCGACGGCTCCGAATGCGGAGAGCCGTGCCTTCCGCTGTACTGCGACTGCTGCCACGCCACGCTGCTCATCTGGAAGGAGAAGCGCTCGCGTTAGGAAGGGGCATTCAGCCGGTCGTCTGGCAACCCAGGCGGCACCAGCTCCTGCACAGCTCGGCTCAGCAAGAGACAGGCCGCACCCTCGACAAGGCCCCTCCTGTCCCTTCCATGAAGCACTAAGCTTAGGCAAGTTGCCGAAAGGCTGCACGCCAGAGTGGATTACAGACACAGCAGCTGAACAAAGCTGAAGTGATCAACCCCCAGTGTCTTCACTTATGAGGAAAGGCTGAAAGAATTGGGTATGTTTAGCCTAAGAAAGAGAAGGCTTTGAGGGGACATGATTGCAGTCTCTAAATATTTGAAGGGCTGCCCTGTAGAAGATGGAGTGGATCTATTCTCTCTTGCTCCGGATTGCAAGACTAGATCTAATGGGTGGAAATTACAAGGGAGTTGATACCGGCTAAATATCGGGAGCAACTTCCTAACTGTACGAGTGGTTGAACAGTGGAACAGTCTGCCTTGGGAGGTGGTGGAGGCTCCTTCACTGGACGTTTTCAAGTGGAGGCTGGACAACCGTCTTTCGGGTATGTTGTAGGGCTCTCTTTCGGCTCTGCTCCTGCAGAGTGCAGGGGGTCGGACTAGATGACCTGCAAGGTCCCTTCCCACTTTCACATTCTATGATTTCATGATCCACTGTCAGAACAGAAGATCCCCTTTGTGACGCTCACCTTTTTGGTTTGGCGGCCATTTCAAAAAACTTAAACTGTACCCCTAGGACGTGTTTTATTTTTTGCCCTCAAGATGCAGCCAATTTACGGTGACACCGTATGGCTTTCCACCAAGAGACGTTCCGAAGTGGGTTGCGATTGCCTGCCTCTGCATCACATCCCAGGTATTCTTTGGCGGTCTCCCATCCCAACACCGACTGGGGCTGACCCTGCTTAGATTCCGGGATCTGACGAGATCGGGCTAGCCTGGGCCATCCAAGTCAGGGCTGGACATATTTATACCCCAAGCAAGATTCTAATGTATCTTGGTGTAGAAAAATGTCCCACAATAATTTTTATTTTAAAAGAATATGGTAGCAGAAGATGCAATTCCCTAACACCCAGGGCCTGGAAACACACTTACGGGATGCAGGAAATCTTCCCCCACCATAGAGAACAATGGAGGGAATGGGGGCAACCTGTTTGGGGGCCCGTAGAATTGGACCCCCTGGTCCAATGTTCTTGAAACTTTATGGGTATCTTGGAGAGAGACTCCAGCAGCTACCCGGCGAGTTTGGAGCCTCTCCCTAAAACCCCTCCCCTCCAGGCCCCAGAATATATCCTATGTTTTCGCCATTGACGTCAATGGCCCATAGGATATAATGGGGCCGAATTGCCGCCGAAATTCGGCGGAAGGCCCTTCGCCGCGTTCGCCTGCGGAACCCCCGGCCACGAGACGCGGCTCTGCAATTGGGAGTCCACCTGGACGCGGGCGGCCTGCCTGTCTCTGATCGCCCGGGGCCGAAGGGCAGTGCCGAGGCTTCCGCACCCGGCTTGATTGCCCCCCAGGAGCACTGGCTGTGCCCCCTTCTAGGTACAGGACACCGGGCTGGAGTGGAGAGGAGCCCTCCCCGGGGCAGGTCCAGGAGGCCCGTCCTTAAGTTCTCTTTGGAAAGGGGTTAGAGGAATTCATGGCGGAGGAGTGGGAAGGCAATCCATGCCTGCTTGGCAGGGGGCAGGATAAAGCCTCCCTGCACCAAGGGAGGGTACCTTTTCAATGCTTCCTCTAAGGGTTGCGATTGCCTGCCTCTGCATCACATCCCAGGTATTCTTTGGCGGTCTCCCATCCCAACACCGACTGGGGCTGACCCTGCTTAGATTCCGGGATCTGACGAGATCGGGCTAGCCTGGGCCATCCAAGTCAGGGCTGGACATATTTATACCCCAAGCAAGATTCTAATGTATCTTGGTGTAGAAAAATGTCCCACAATAATTTTTATTTTAAAAGAATATGGTAGCAGAAGATGCAATTCCCTAACACCCAGGGCCTGGAAACACACTTACGGGATGCAGGAAATCTTCCCCCACCATAGAGAACAATGGAGGGAATGGGGGCAACCTGTTTGGGGGCCCGTAGAATTGGACCCCCTGGTCCAATGTTCTTGAAACTTTATGGGTATCTTGGAGAGAGACTCCAGCAGCTACCCGGCGAGTTTGGAGCCTCTCCCTAAAACCCCTCCCCTCCAGGCCCCAGAATATATCCTATGTTTTCGCCATTGACGTCAATGGCCCATAGGATATAATGGGGCCGAATTGCCGCCGAAATTCGGCGGAAGGCCCTTCGCCGCGTTCGCCTGCGGAACCCCCGGCCACGAGACGCGGCTCTGCAATTGGGAGTCCACCTGGACGCGGGCGGCCTGCCTGTCTCTGATCGCCCGGGGCCGAAGGGCAGTGCCGAGGCTTCCGCACCCGGCTTGATTGCCCCCCAGGAGCACTGGCTGTGCCCCCTTCTAGGTACAGGACACCGGGCTGGAGTGGAGAGGAGCCCTCCCCGGGGCAGGTCCAGGAGGCCCGTCCTTAAGTTCTCTTTGGAAAGGGATTAGAGGAATTCATGGCGGAGGAGGAGGAGTGGGAAGGCAATCCATGCCTGCTTGCCAGGGGGCAGGATAAAGCCTCCCTGCACCAAGGGAGGGTACCTTTTCAATGCTTCCTCTAAACCGTGGAGTCTTGTGAGTAAAAATCCTACTTTGTGAGCTACTGGCATTAAAGTTGTGAATGAGCGATTGGGCTGCTGCATCAATTAGTTTGCTCTGGAGCCCTCCTTCCTGAGCGAAGGCAAAAATGTGTGTTGTTGTTGTTGTTCAGTCGCACAGTCGAGTCCGACTCTTCGCGACCCCATGGACCAGACCACGCCAGGCCTTCCGGTCATCCGCCGTCCTCTGAAGTTTGCTCAACTTCATGTTCGTTCCAGGAACGCGACTTCCCCTTCTATTTGCCAAGGAGTGATGGGGCCGGATGCCATGATCTTAGTTTTTTTGATGTTGAGCTTCAAGCCCACTTTTGCGCTCTCCCTCTTTTACCCTGAGCAAGAGGCTCTTTAGGTCCTCTTCACTTTCTGTCTAATGGCAGAATCTGAATCAGCCCGCAGCACCCCGAAAGGGCCATTTTCGGGGGTGCATAATCCGGACACAATGTTGCATTACTATATCACTTCTCCATTATTCTGTGTATTTCTCTATTGTAGTGTATTATGACACAAGATCTTCATTGTTTAACATTTTGTATTTCTTCTAATGTGGCTACTCTGCATTCGCTATTTTCTATTACATATTCTTTAGTATTTTGGCAATTTGTCAGTGGTGAGTCTGTTTACTACACTTGTCTTTGCCTTCTGTTACTGTGAATGCTTAATGCCATGCTTCAGGTCTTTCTGGGGGTTGCAGACTTTTAACATTCTCATGGCCTGGGTTACTTGAACGTCCCCTTTTGTTCGCTGTATGAGCTCACTCTGGGTAATCTGCCTTGAATCCCGGGGAGAATGTAAATAAACAAGCAACAGCAGGGGAAGGCTGACCTTGCAGCCCTGCACCCTCTTAACGCCAGCGTTGCCAGCTTCAGCTGCTCCCGGCGGCTCTGGCCCGATGCCCCCTCCCTCCCACGTGCCCCCTGGCTGCTGATTTAACGGTTCCTGTAGTTACAAAGCGCTCTCACCAATACTTGCCGCTGGAGGTTATCGGGAGACGAGAAGGACCTCTGCACCGCCTGCACGCATTCCACACTCCTCTCGTACCTACTAAGCAAAAGGCCACAAATCAGTCCCGCTGGAGCGTCCAAGGGCATACAGGGGCAGGTTTCCTGCGTGACAGTGAGCCATCGAGCTTCACCCATCCACACCATTCATGTCAGGAAAATTCAACCTGGTGGCATTTGGAATGGCATTTCCATCTGTGTAAGAAGAGCTGCCAATTTCTGCCGATTCTTGTCTCCCACTGCAGACCACCTCTCCTGCCCCCTACACTGTGCAGTGATGGCCACGAGAATAAACAGCTTTAAGAGGGGATTAGAGAGATTCATGGAGGAGAGGTCTATCAGCGGCTACCAGCCATGGTGACTGAGGGGAACCAGGATTTGACCGTTTTCTTGCTCTCTGATATTGATGCACATGTTACTAGCAGAATGGCTTTGTTTGCACTGGCGGCGAAAAAGATAAGACTGGGTCTAGGACTTACTGTAAGTTACTGATGTGCTTTGATTTATTTTGTGTTGTTATGGCCAATGGCTAAGACAATAAACTAAACTTGAAACTTGACTGAGGGGAACCTAAGCCTCTGAATCTCAGAGCCAGGAGGCAACATCAGTGGAAGGCCTCGGCCTCTACGCCCTGTCGTTGGTCCTCAGAGGAACTGGTTGGCCCCTGTGTGAGACCGGAGGCTGGACTAGATGGACCCTCACTTGTCTGATCCAGCAGGGCTCTTCTTAGGTTCTTATCAGGGGAAGGCCTTGGCCTCTGTGCCCCGTTATTGGTCTTCCAGAATCACTGGTTGGCCATTGTGTGAGACAGGATGCTGGATTAGATGGACCTCACTGGTCTGATCCAGCATGGCTCTTCTGATGTTCTTATGTTCCTTAGGATCTGCTGACAACCAGGAACAAAATTTCAGGAGGCTCAAGGGGGTTGCAACAGGGGAGGGAAGGAGGAAGGTCCCACCCATCAAAGTCTGTGTATGGCTGAAGATACACTGGGATCTTACAAGTATCTGTGCAGGGCTGCTATCCCGCCAGAAAAGAACTGGGAACTATTTTGAAAATAATCAGAGAGAGGCACATGGCAAATGCTGGCATGATGAACTATAAAGTATGTATTATAATAAAGAAGGAAGTAAGGGAGTGACTGTTTGCTTCCGCTTTGGAGACCGAGCCGAGCAGAGGAAAGAAGGGTAAAAGTCCGAGCATAAACAAATCAGTACTGCTTTTGCACGCAAAACGTGGAATGGAAACTGCAGAACCAGTAATCTCCTCGGATCCATCTGTGTACTCTAACTAGGTCAAATGTCCGAGCTGTCTCCCAACGTTACCTTGTGATTCTATGACAATCTGTTTTCAGTTTCAATTCTCTGCTACGATGGCTCTCCTTTCGGGGAGCAACCGAGGGAGGGGCTCCCACGTCAGTCAGTCACAGCCTTAAGGACTAGTTAATCAGTCGCAGCCTGAAGAATCAGCAACTTCATCATTTGTGTTTTTGGTTTTTTTTTAAGCCCCCGGAGGGGATTTTTTATTGATTTTTTAAACACTACAAAAACTAGAACAGAAAAAAGGGAAAGGGAAAACTACATATAAGGGAGAAAGTAAAGAACCCACTACTAACTAAAAACCCAAGAGAGGAGATCTCCAACTAGCTTTTTATACTTAATTCCGACTTTTCATCTTTGTACTTCTTATGAACTGCGTCAATCTTTTTACCCTTTTAACCATCCCCAGTTACATTTAATTGCCCAATAACATTTGTTTTTTGTACTGCTCATTTTTATATTTTGCATTTTCTGGTTAAGACGCTGAACTACAGACCGGAAGGTCTGTAGTTCACCAGTTCGAGACCCGAGTGCCGCGTGACAGAGTGAGCTCCCGTCTCTGGTCTCAGCTCCTGCCAACCTAGCCGCTCGAAAGCAAGAAACTGCAAGTAGATAAATAGGTACCGCTTTGGTGGGAAGGTAACAGCGTCCCGTGTGCCTCGGCGTCTAGTCATGCCAGCCACATGACCACAGAAACTTCTTCGGACAGCGCTGGCTCTTCGGCTTGGAAACGGAAATGAGCACCGCACCCTAGAGTCGGATTCGACTGGCTTTCGAGCAAGGGAAACCTTTACCTTTACATTGTTACGAAAGTGCCCCCAAAGCATCTTTCAGTAATATAAAAACATGGAAAAACCAGACAATTCAAATGCCATTATCACTCATATATGCACGTATGGCAACATAAATGGATCTCTAGAGTTGCCTTGTGGTCTCATTTTGTAACGGCCTTTCTTTCTGCTCCCCTCCCTCCCCCCATCTTCCACCCACGTGAGTCCACCTCTTCATGCATCGGATAAAGTGGGCTCGGCCTTATGCGAGCTTCCGCCACAATATATTTACTAGTCTTTAAAATGACGACACTCCTGCAGTTTGGTACTCTACTCAAACAGCGTCAGGAAGGTCTCAAATCTGCATGTCGATTCAGCTGGTTTTGAAAAGGGGTCGCAGCTCCCCCCCCCCCAAGGAAACCAATCTGTCTACCCATACATTGTTTGAGAAGCAAAGTTTCCCAAGGGCCATTGTAAAATCCCCTTTACGTTGGCCCACAGAAAATCATCCTCTTTCCTCACACTTGTGTTATTTCTCAGGTCATTTTCATCCCACTTCCGGGCACAGAAGAACTGTCAAGGAGGAAAAGGAGGCTCACACACAGAAGCCTGTGCAGAGGGCAGCCGCAGCATGCAAAAACGGCTTATCGTACCCACAAAAAAACCCCCACACGTACCTGTTGCAACTGGGCGGCAACTGTGACACACTGGAGGGGCTTCCATTAGCAGACCCGTGCTGGGAATAAGGTGAGCTGCCATCCTGAGAGGCGTGACTACTCCCTAAAGACGGACACTCGTTAAAGAAAACCCATCTCACACAAGTTTCCTCGTGCCCTGATGAAGAAAGAGCTGATGGAAACCAAGGCATACAATTTAATTGGCTGCAGAAAGGAGCACACCAGAGATCCTCTACAGTGCACCAACAGAGTTCCAAAACAAGTGTGCAACCGCCCGGAATACCCAGTGGTGAAGATGCAATCGAGATGCAACACCGCCGGACAGGAAGCCCGGCAGTTAATTGCAATCGTGTGCCAGAGGAACGAGGGCTCCTCAGGTGAGAAAGCTTGAGTATTCCCAACACACCGCCTAAATAATCCCAGCGCAACAGTGACAAGGGTGTTGCAAAGAGACGAAACCTGGCCGTTTGCAGGGAGCTACTCACGTGCTCAATGCAAACCAGGGCTCAGCCCCGGAACCTACTTCAGTCTTCAGGTTCAGTTCAGAAACCACTCGAGTAACACAGAATGATCTGGGCCATGCACGGAGTGCATTTCTTTATCATCAGAGAATTTCAGAATTCGCTCTCTCTTGCTTCTAAGCAAACAGGGTGGGATAGCCTCCCCCAAAACAGGTTGTTTTGTCTCAAGCGATTCCAGAACGTTTCTCCTTGAGTGCATTTCAGCACAATCACATAGTATGCAAGAGCTGATGATCTAGTCAGCAAAAACTGAAGATGGATTTATTTAGGACTGCATTTGGTTAAGTTTAGTAGCATTCCTGAATAAGTGATTTCTATTTTTTTTTTAAGGGGAGAGGTAATGTATTTTATCTTTGGTATTTTTGCATTGTGTGTATGTGCCCCTGTGCCTGGAAGTCACGGCGACCTCTGGCGACTCCTCCTGGGGTACGGAGGACATTCAGAGAAGTGGCTTGAGAGCCTGCCTCTGGCCTCTTGGCCCTGGTACCCTCTGGAGGTCTCCCATCCAAGTACTTGACAGGGCCGGCCCTGCTTAGCTTCCGAGATCTGATGAGATCGGGCTTGCGGGGGATCTCCATGCATTTTATCGATGTTTGTAAGCCACCTTGAGCTCCAGAAGGAAGAAAGGTGGCTAATATTTTAAATACATTTAAAAAAATAAGAATACACACTGTTAATACATAGACCACAACTTTAAACACAAGACAACAAGTCCTGCCCTTTGCCAAGTTCGGCTAGGCTGCTTTAAACATCCCACGGATACCTGATCGGAACTGAATTTTGAGAGGTCTTCCAAAAAGCTTGATCCCGTTGAGCAGACTCATGGCATAGGGGACAGACTCTTCGTGTTTGAAATTCACGAACGCAAACATCTTTGGCTTCCCATCCCTGTCCTTCGGGATCTTTACTTTAATGACCGGGCCTCCCTGCAAACCAAGGAAGAAAACACAGCTTTCTATTAGAAAAAAAGAGTCAGTGTGGTGTGGTGGTTAAGAATGTTGGGCTAGTATCTGGGACACCTGGGTTCGAATCCTCACCTGTGCCATGGAAGCTTGCAGGGTGACCTTGGGCCAGTCACATTCTCTCAGCCTAACCAACCATGTTTGTTGTGAGGATAAAATGGAGGAGAGAAGAAGGCCAAGCTGTGAGGGGTCCCCCACTGGGGAGAAAGGCAGGGAATAAATGAATTAACTAAAAAAAAATTTAGCCACATGCAGCTGTGCTGAAAAGGACAACGATCTGCTTGCAACAGAGGCAGACCATCACAGCTTAACGGTAATGTCAATGTGCTCAACGCTTGGTGTTTTATGAACCTTCTCCCCAAACCTGGAGAAAACAGTCCTGCCCTCCCCACTGGTGCAGAAGAGGTGCTGTAACAGACAAGACGGGTAAAAGGGCATCACCTGAAGGGGGCACAGGGAGGACAGAAAACTCCATGCTCTCATAAAGCTACAACTCCAAGCAGAAGGAAGCACAGTTTTATCCATGGGAAACGGACAGAAAGGTGATAAGAAGAGGAGGAGGAGGAGGTTGGATTTATACCCTGCCCTTCACTACCCAAAGGAGTCTCAGAGCGGCTTACAATCTCCTTTCCCTTCCCCTCCACACAACAGACACACCCTGTGAGGTGGGTGCGGCTGAGAGAGCTCTTTCAAGAACTGCCCTCGAGAGAAAAGCTCTGAAAGAACTTATGACTGACCCAAGGCCACACCAGCAGCTGCATGCGGAGGAGTGAGGGATCAAACCCAGTTCTCCCAGATTAGAGTCTGCGCTCCTAACCACAACACCAAACTGGCTCGTAAGAATATAAGAGTAGCCGTGTTGGGTCAGACAGATGGCCCTTTTAATACAACAGCCTGTGTCACAGAGTGGCCAAAACCCAGGTGCCACCAGGAGGTCCACTAACATAGCCAAATACTGGGGTGGTCCCACGCACAATGCCCAACACACCCTGCAAAGCTTCCCCCACTCATGTCAGGTGCCCCCTCCCCAAATAAGGGGAAACCTGGCTCCCACCACGGCTGCACACATCCCAATTTCAACAATGAAAACAGGGATCCAAGTGTTTACAATGCCAAATCAGCCTCACCACTCAGACGCTTGCCAGCACAGGCTTTGTACAGTGTCCAGGTTATGGCCAACACAATTGAGACAAGGGTCAGGTCCTCCTATCGTCCTTCTCTCTGATGACGGAGAGGAAGAGGAGAGGGCGTGATGTCTGAATCAAAGGAAAACTCAAGTTCGGCTGCTCCTGGGGTGACCCAGTTATGGCCAACACAACTGAGACAAGGGTCAGGTCCTCCTATCGTCCTTCTCTCGGATGATGGAGAGGGAGGGCGTGATGTCTGAACCAAAGGAAAACTCAAGTTCGGCTGCTCCTGGGGCGACCCAAAGCTAGTTATTCATTCTCAGTCTAACTTACTCCGCACGGTTCTTCTGAGGATAAACTGGGAGAGGGCAACCCCCCTGCACTTTGGGCTCCCCTAAAAGAAGAAAGGAAAAGCAGTTGTGAGCGAGCGATTTGGCTACTGCATAAATTAGTTTGCTCTGGAGCCCTCCTTCCTGAGCTAAGACAAAACAAGTGTGAGCTGGAGGCTAAAAAACGGTGAGCTGGCTCACACTAACTCAGCTTAGAGGGAACACTGGTCAGAAGACGCAGGGGTCAGAGTGCCAGAGTAGGATTTGGGAGAACCTGGTTCAAATCCCCACTCTGCCGTGGAAGCTCACTGGGTGACCCTGGGCCAGTCACACGCTCTCAGCCTTGCCTACCTCGCAGGGCTGCTGTGAGGATAAAACAGAGGAAAGAATGATGTAAGCATCTTTGGGTCTCCATTGGGGAGAAAGGCGGGGTATGAACAAAGCAAAAGAGATAAAGCAAAAATAAATGCTAACAAAGAGAGCACATGAGCATCAGGCCCAGGCTGGCCCATCTAGCCCAGTGCCCTGTCTCCAAGAGCAGCCAGCCAATGCCTCTGGGGAGACTGCAAGTGAGACATAATGGAAACAGCCATCTTCCACTGTCTGCTTCACAGGACAGGTAGTTTCAGTACACACGTCGAGTACGACTCTTCGCAACCCCATGGACCAGATCACGCCAGGCCCTCCTGTCTTCCACCGTCCTCCAGAGTTTGCTCAATTTCATGTTCGTTGCTTCGATGATACCGTCTAACCATCTCATCCTTTGCCGTCCCCTTCTTCTTTGACCTTCAGTCTTTCCCAGCATCAGGGTCTTCTCCAGGGAGGGCTCCCTTCTCATTTGGTGGCCAAAGTATTTGAGCTTCAGCTTCAGTCTCTGGCCTTCCAGGGAACAGTCAGGGTTGATTTCTTTTAGTATCGAGTGATTTTATCTCCTTGCAGTCCAAGGGACTCTCCAGAGTCTTCTCCAGCACCATAGTTCAAAAGCATCTATTCTTCAATGCTCGGCTTTCCTTATGGTCCAATTCTCGCAGCCATACATGACTACTGGGAATACCATTGCTTTGACCATGCGGACTTTTGTTGGCAGGGTGATGTCTCTGCTTTTTATCATGCTATTTAGGTTTGCCATCGCTTTCCTGGAGAAGACCCTGATGCTGGGAGAGATTGAAGGTCAAAGAAGACGGGGACGGCAAAGGATGAGATGGTTAGACAGTGTCATCGATGCAACAGACATGAAGTTGAGCCAACTTCAGAGGACGGTGGAAGACTGGAAGGCCTGGCATAATCTGGCCCATGGGGTCGCGAAGAGTCGGACTCAACTGTGCGACTGAACAACAACAACAACACACATTTTTGCCTTCGCTCAGGAAGGAGGGCTCCAGAGCAAACTAATTGATGCAGCAGCCCAATCGCTCATTCACAACTTTAATGCCAGTAGCTCACAAAGTAGGATTTTTACTCACAAGACTCCACGGCTTAGAGGAAGCATTGAAAAGGTACCCTCCCTTGGTGCAGGGAGGCTTTATCCTGCCCCCTGGCAAGCAGGCACGGATTGCCTGCCCCCTCCTCCGCCGCCGCCATGAATTCCTCTAACCCCTTTCCAAAGAGAACTTAAGGCCCGGGGAGGGCTCCTCTCCACCCCAGCCCGGCGTCCTGTTCCTAGAAGGGGGCACAGCCAGGGCTCCTGGGCGGCAATCAAGCCGGGCGCGGAAGCCTCGGCGCTGCCCTTCGGCCGCCCGCGTCCAGGTGGACTCCCAATTGCAGAGCCGCGTCCCGTGGCCGGGAGTTCCGCGGGCGAAGGCGGCGAAGGGCCTTCCGCGCGCGGCCCGGCCTCGCCGCCGCCTCCTCTTTCCCCCTCCCGGGCCATGCCGGGCCGTACCTGGTGGAAGAGCTCGAAGAGGAGCTCCTCGGTGACGCGCGGGTCCAGGTTGCCCACGAAGAGGGTCCGGTCCGCCTCGGCCGCCGCGGCGCCCATCGCCTCCCCGGCCAGCCGTCTCGCGGCGCATGCGCGGCGGAGGCGGCGGGGGCCGGGAGGGCCGCTTTATGCCCTCACAGGCGCGACGGCGCAAGCGCCAGCCGGCTCTGGCGTCAGGCCCGCGCGTGGCGCGATGCGCGCGCAGCTGCCAGTCCGGTCCGCTTCTCCGTGGCCTCATTCGCTAAGCTGCGCAGGCGCACCCGGATCGTCGCCTGCAACGAGCCGTCGCTCGAATAGTCTCTGCGTGGAGTTGCAGAAGACATCCGGATTGTTATTTTCCCCCTATATTTCCCCCAGGGTTTTCATTAGGGAACGACTTTCCTTGTGCTTTTCCTCGCCCATAGACCAGAATTTAGTTTCCATCGGCGAGCGAAACGCATCAAAACCCTAAGGGTGCCACTGGACTCAGACTTTGATTTACCCCTTGCAGCCCTTTGCTTGAGTCCAGTGGAACCTTTAAGAACTGTTTTTTATGAAGTCGACTTGCGCATCTCCCAGTCAGTCGCGTTTATACCCCCCCCCCCTTCATTGCCCTTCGCTTAGCCAGGTTTACAGTCCAGATTAAAATTGGAGAAGCTCTGCTGGTGTGCCCCCCCCCCTTCCCAAGCTGTGTGAGGACCCACTTGTACGAATGCCCCCACTGTGGCTCTGTGTGAGTCCCAGTTCCGTGAGAGGTGAGACCAAAGACTTGGGTAGAGATGCTGCAGTGAACCTCCTTAAGAACATAAGAGAAGCCAATGCTGGATCAGGCCAAAGGCCCATCCAGTCCAACACTCTGTGTCACACAGTGGCCAGAAATACCAGTGCCACCAGGAGGTCCACCAGTGGGGCCAGGACATTAGAAGCCCTCCCACTGTTGTCCCCCCAGCACCAAGAATACAAAGCATCCGTTAACCCAGACTGAGAGTACCTGTCTATACCTTGTGGCTAATAGCCACTGATGGACCTCTGCTCCGTATGTTTATCCAATTCCCGCTTGAAGCCGTCCATGCTTGTAGCCACCACTACCTGGATAACAGGCAGTCCTGTTGTGTCTTTGCATATTGATATTTGAGTGAATGCCCCAATCTCATACTCTATGCACGTGTGTGTTAAGTGCTGCCAATGGCCCCAGCAAGGGGCATTCAAGGCAAGTGAGAAGCAGAGGTGGTTTTGCCGTCGTCAACCTCTTCAGAGACTTCCTTGGCAGTCTCCCTTCCAAGTAACGACTGTTATGTATTGTGCATACATGTCTGAGCTTCGTCTGCTCAGGAATCTAAGGCTGGTATTGTAAAGTACACATTCTGATTGGCTACTCTGCACAGTAGACCAATCAGAACCCAAGAACGGTTCTGGAGGGAGCTGAGCCCATTGGTCTTTATGTTAATGTTATGATTGGTTCTTAACTCAACAGTGGGCGTGGTTATACAAGCCGGATAGTTTAAAAGAGAGCCTGTTGCGCTCATGTTTTTGTGTTGTTGGGGGAAAACATTGGGGGAGCGGTGGCACAGTGGGTATATCCCACTGTCTTAACATCTAAACTGTATTGGTTCAAGCCCCGCGCTGGTGTGAGCAGCCAGCGAGCGATTAGAAAGCTTTGGCGAGTAGATAAAATG